TGAACACTGCACAAGATTTATGTCTACATAATCAGAAGTGAAGTTTTTTCCAAAAAAATGTCAGCCCGTTATGCCAACCAGTATTACTCCAAACTCTCTACCAACTCCTTGTTTGAGCATTAAGTCAACAAGAACAGTCTTTGTGTAGTACTCATTGTTCACGTAAGAACTGCTGTACCTCATTGAGCTTTTCATCCTATTTGAAATATTTATTTTTGTAGCACTAATTTCCATGCTACTAGTATAAATAAAAGTAATTTTATTTCTGCAGCACCTCACAGCCAAGCATCTCAAATCATGTCACAAATACTAAGGCTTAACACCTGTGGGAAGTGCACTACTGGGAAGAATAGAATAGTAGAAAAACTAGATAGTACTTGGGTGGGACACAGTCCTACTGCACACAGCAATACACGACAAGAGGTTAGGCATCAAAGACTACTGCCTCCTACTGAACTTTAGAAGAAAGTTTAGCTAGAAATAATGATCACTGGACTAAAATTCATCCAAAGCACTTTTCTGAACTTCTCTTTAAAATAAATACTACCTGCAATATTTTGCATCTTATTTCAACAAATAGTAAAAAACCCCTGAATTTTATAACCACTTAGATACTTGCTTTTAGCAATCCTCTCACTTGAAAGATCTCCATCTGAGTCACACCTCCAGAGCATGGCATCTAGTGGAACACTTTGCAGTCACCACTGGAGAAATGACTCAGTCTGCTGCTTAGTAGAGTACCAACATCACTTCCTACAACATGCATGTCTTTCCTCCTGAACTCCCACCCAAGTTGGAGCTGAGCCAGTGTCTGTTTAGCTCTTGAGATACACAGTAATCAACATGCAGTCTGGCAGGACTGTGAGCATACCAGCAATAAAACTGATAAATAAATAGATCTCAGTGCTTGCTATGAGTTGCCTTTAGCCTAGGCACTGAATAATTAAAGCTGACAGTATGTTACACACGTAAGTCAGTTGTAAACATACTCGAATGACATTTATAGCCTAAAAAGTGTTTTAATAAGAAACTCCGTGAATTAGATTGGAATCTCCATTGCAATCCAGAGGAACACTTAGTTCCTTAGGGTTACTTCAGGTGTGACAGCAGAAGCCCGTCTGATGTATTTTACAGTATGCTGTAGTAATACAGTACTTTGTCCTTAGACCTTCCTCATATTAGAGGACCATCCTTTATAGTTAATTCACTTGTAGTACTTACACATGTAGAGGTGGCAGAGCAACAAATCCACCTCTTCTGCTAAGGTCTCCATCCATCAGTACACTTTCATAACCTATCTCTGAATCAAGAATAAAAGTCCCTTGTTTCCAAATTCATCTCAAAAGCTCTCTTTAGCCCACGCTACTGTTCAACACTGGTTGACAACACATCACCATTATTCACATTGTTACTCAGGTCTATGCCCAAAGATTTACCTTTGATCCTCTTCCTCTCTCCACAAGTCAAACTATTTCTACATCCCAGCCCAAATCCTGTTTCTTTTCTCTTCAATACATTTATCAAAACTGTGGTTTTATTTCACTGTCTAAGCTTCTTGCTCAGTCTCATTTTGCCATTTTGAATGTAGTAACAGGAATCCTATCCTGAATGCAATTCTCAGGTCAAACAAGTAAACTTTAAATCTACATGAAATGCTTTATTTTAGGTGCCACACTGAGCCATAGTCTTCAAGACTTAATTCTAACTCTTCCTCTTCCCCTACATGTTACTGAAAGTTTATCCCACTGTACTACAAACCTTCAGCACAACTATTCTTCCCTCCATAGCCTTGTTTTTTGTTGCCTCCATCTTTCTCTTCCACTACCCACCAAGCCTCAAGTTTACACCCACATTATCACATTGCAGCTGCAACTCAATGTCAACAGCTTATCTTGGCAGTCCTTGGCACAGAAAGAGCCTTTCATGAGTTCTGTGACAAAGCTGTTACTCATTCCCTTTGCATTCTGATCCCTCACAGAAAACATTTGCACTGCAATATTTTAAAAAAGGACTATTACCCTTACTAGTTAGCTAATGTTAAAAGGTGGGAGAATAAAAGGGAAGAATGTAACAGCAAAGAAAACCAGAAATTGTGTCACCTTTATGCTGCACTGTTGGAACCTCCCAGGCTAGTTGACATACACAATGTACCATACCTTTCCTTGCTATCTTTATGCTAGCTAGATTTAATAGTGCCATTCCCAAAAGATTCAAATTTTTCAAATATACAAAGAAATGGTTACATGCTAAATATACCTTGAAATATTTCCTTACCTTATCCAGGGAGAATGTTTTAGTGACAGCAAAGCCCCATCCAGCTTCAAAAGCTCTTCGAATCATTGAAGAACTAGTAGTAGGGGTTGCACTGGCAAGGCCAAAAGGATTTGGAAACTTCAGTCCAGCCATTTCTACACTGATGTCTACTAAATCAATAGGAGTATAGAAGAGTGGTAGCTGTGGAACAGTAGAAACTGCAACACCATGTAAGGACTGTGAAAAAAAAACAAAAATCACAGAAATTTTTGCTGATTCATTTTTATGTAATTTACTATTACCCCTGATAAGGGAATAATTCATACATAATAAATCAAAGTTTAAGTATTCTATTATGTGTTCAGACTTGCAAATCAGCAACACATGCAAACACTTGCATATGTAACATCTTCTGTACAAATAACATTCATGCTGAAATATCATGCCATGCTGGAAATAACTGGAAAAAAAAAAAAAAAAAAAAAAAAAAACAGAAAACCCCAAACAGTCATTTCACACCCTGTACTGCTAGCCTCATTCAGTCCAAAGGTTTGTTCAGCCATTCTGAACAGCCAGTTCTGTTCCCTACAGCAGCCAACAGCAGTGAGATTGAAAAAAAAACAAACCCCAACAGGGTATGCATAGACAGACCCTTCAGACCAACCCCTTCTAGTCGTCTTCTCAGGTGCCAATCTACAAAATGTGTAGGGACTTGAGAAAAATGAGGGAAGGCATCCATGTGCAGGATGACTCAGCCCTAACCCAATGTATTTTGAACTCCTGCAACTTCCCCCCACGCCTTTTAAAGATTTTATCTAGCCTACGCAATGGGATACATATCAATATACGCAAAACTATTATTGTTTTAATATTTAATTATATTAATATGAATACTTCAAGGGTGACAAAAATTAGACTGATTTGGGATCAAAGAACATCATACATATTATGGCTGTGACACCACAGTCACTTTTGTTTTCATTTTAAAGACAGCCTTTTCTCTGGAGAGTCAGCGAAAAGTTTTCAATGTAAATGTTGCATCTATTACTGTAAAAGTTGTAGAGAGAAAAATCTTTTTCCATGTATGGATACTGAACACCATCCTAATCAGGCTCTGGTAGGCAGAATTAAGATCTTTGCTCACTCAGATGGTTGACTCAATAAAATTATAAAAAAATAAAGCAGGAATTTCTAACACAGAGAAGCCTTACACAGTCTGTGTTCCTATTAAGTCCCCACATAAGATCATAGCAGTTTCTTCTATACTGAAAATGAATATTTCTTCAGCAG